GTATCAAGAACAATGCCTAGCTAGTTTAGAAAAATTCATTTTTATTGCAATGCTAAGATGTTTGCACATGTGTTTCTAATCTCTATATCTGATTATTACTAGTCACAGTCGGTTACTTTCTGAGCTCCTTGGCATCTGAGCATGGATATAGTCATCAGATTTCAATGGTAATGTTTTTCACATTTACTAATTTTTTTAATCATTTTAAAAATTTTTAATAATTACATGATTAGAAGAAGCATTTCACTACAGCTAACATATTCAGTAACACACTCCAGAGCAACAGTACATCTCTTTCACAAGTGGCTGCAAGTTTCTAGGTTCACAGTTGAGTCAATACAGTTACACAATATTGAACTCAGTATAAGCCCTGTAAGACATAAAATTGAATGAGTTTTTAACCTTTAAAAAAGATCTCCATTTCATTTTAGAATATATTGTTCCTTGCAGAAAGACTCATTGTTTTTGCTACTAACACTGAGATGTTGGCTCACGCATCTCTAATCTGTATGCATCTGAATATTACTAGTCATAATCGGTTCCACTTGGACCCTTGGCGCCTGTGTATGTCTATGAAGTCATCGGGTGGGTTTCAATGGTAATGTTTATCACCGCTACTAATTAGCATGACGTAAATTTCCATGCTTCCTCCTCAAATATACATTTTTTAAAAACTTGATTTTGTGTATCACACAGAACATCCCAAACCATCTTATTCGACTATACACCCACTTCCCTGTTGGCACCCTCCCACAGCCTCCCTCCCTCTTCCCTGATGTTTTTAAAAGTTTAAATGTCTAGCCAGGCGTGGTAGGGCACGCCTTTAATCCCAGCAGGTGGATCTCTGTGAGTTCAAGGCCAGTCTGGTCTACATAGTGAGTTCCAGGGCAGCTGGGGCTACAGGGAGATCCTGTCTCAAAAAAAAAACAAAAAACTTTAAATGTCTTAATAGCCAAGCAACTATAACCTATAGGATTCTAGTGTTAAAGTAGTAAATACTATGTAAGCACTTCTTTCACAAAAGAGAATTCTTTGTTTCACATTTTAGATTATCTAAGGCTCATGATAGTCTTATTTTTAGGTAGGAATGTGGGGTTGACTTTCCTGTACAAAAGTAAAAAGTTGGGGCTGTTTCAAAAAGTAGCACTGTTCTGCTTGCTCTGTCTAATGTTAGTACCATTAAAAGGTAGCAGACTGGAAAATGAAGATTATAAAACTGAATAAAAGATTGATCAAACCTATACCCCTAAACCCCTGAACAGTTCTTGAAATTTCTTTATGAAACCCATTTACTAAACAAAAAAGAAAATATAAAATGTCTAGGAGCAAGTTTAGCTTTCAATTTAAACAATATACTGTTTTAATTACATACAGGCAAGTTTTTTTAAGGATTAACGATAGAATTATAAATTAACAATTGACTGTTAGAAACAAGAGTTGAGAATTTCTGGCCATTTATAATTTTTTTCACATTTTATTATTTTTATTATATATGAGTTTATTGCCTGCATGTATATAAGTGCACCCATGTCATGCAATGCCTGAGGTAGAAAGTATCAGATGCCCTGGAACTGGAGTTATAGATGGCTGTTAGCAGCCATGTAGGTGCTGGGAACCCAACCCAGGTCTTCTCCAAGAGCAGCCAGTGCTCGTAACTGATAAGCCATCTCTCCAGCCCCCAACTATTTATAATTTTTTCTAGTTGGCACTGTTTGGATTATCTAAGAGTGCTTAGTGGAATGCCAATATTCTAAGTAAAACAGTATTTTAAAGACATGAAGTATGTAAATTGAGTTTCCTTAGTAACATGAACTGTAAGTTATAGGTATTAGAATATGCAACAAAATAGAATGATAGTATCATGTAAACTATTTCATAGTAACAGTTATTCACAAGTTGATTAATGATTCCTCTAACCTTTTAGCAGCTTAAAACCTAGCTCTATTAATGGTTAGCTCTGTTCTGAGGCAAATAACTTCTGAGGTTCAATAAACTTATGAAGTAAACCATTATGATTTGTTATATTTAAGACTCTGAGGCCAAACATTCAAGAAGTGGAGGCAGTAAAATCACAGGATTGAGGGAATCTGAGCTAACATAAAGGGCATTCCAGGCCATTTGAACCACATAGCAAGACCTTATTTGAAAACAACAAAAAGCCAGGCATGATTACACACACCTATAATCCCAACATTTACAGGCAGGACACTGCAAGTTCAAAGCACAGACCTGTCTTATTTAGGTACATGCTAGTTGATGTATGAGCTATCAAAATCAGAAAGATGCATTGTACATCTTAAATCCCAGTCCACTGATAAGCAGAAACACAATCTATTTTAGGAATATGTATATATTTAAATATTCACCAGTTCACTGTTAAGTAAAACTAAAATATGGCCACAGTATAAAAATATCTAAATTATAAAAAAACATAAGTTTGCTGACTTAGGTCTCATATTTGTATCAGAAAATTAATTCACATTCACTAAGTGGAATCACCTCTGGACCTGTGTAGAAGTGAATTCAGGGTTTCCGTGGTCTCTCAAGGTTCATTCTTCTCATTGGGGAGAGGGTTCCTTATTTTCTTCTGCTTATTAATAATGACAGTCTAACATTTAATACCTTTGCTACTTGCTCTTATCGATTCTTTGAAATATAACTGCCTATAAACCATGCCATGAAATTCTACAACAAAAGTTAAAAGATGTAGGCAACATACGATTTAATTCAAAAGGATTTTTGGTCTTTTTTTGAGACAGGGTTTCCCTGTAGCCCCAGCTGGCCCTGGAACTATGTAGACCAGGCTAGCCTTGAACTCACAGAGATCTGCCTGCCTCATTTCCTGAATGCTAGGATGACTTGAAAGTCATTTTAAAGGAGAAAGCAATCATAAAATATAACTCTCCGGGGCTGGAGAGATGGATCAGTGATTAAGAGCACTGGCTGCTCTTGTAAAGGACCCAGGTTCAAGTCTCTGCACCCACATTGTAGTTAACAACCATCTGTTAACCATCCAGGGAACCCAACACCTTCTTCTGACCTCCTCGGGCACTGCACAACACAGGTACACTTCTTACACACATGCAGGCAAAACACTCATAAAATAAAAAAATATTAAAAAAATAACTTGCCAACTTCAAGGATTTCATTACAAATTATTCCATTTTATTTTAGGATGGGAAAACAAGACTTTATCCCCAAACATTTATATTTTTCTTTGTTGGAAGCAAGGAAGTTTTCTGTTACAAACTGTCCAGTGGAAGAAAATAAACATTTTCCAAAAACATCTTCCCCTAGTATTAGCGTGGGATGATTAGGATGTAGCAGTAGTTTCTGTCTTTTTTGAGGCAAGGTCTTGACATGTAGCCCAAGCTAGCCTCCAACTTGTGATCCTCCTGCCTCAGCTTCCCAAGTAGCTGCGATTATAGGTGTACACAACCTCACCCAACTCAGTAGCAATCTTAATTTCACAAAAACTAAGGCGGTGGTTTTAGCCGTTTTGCAGATGGTCCATCTGAGTTAGTTCTGCTACCAATGTTATCATCTTCTGCACCATCTTCATCATCACCTTTTAAAATAAATACTGGTTGTATGACATGCTCAGTGGTTGAAAGAACTACAAACTGATGGAGATGAGACCATTTCCCTTTGGGGACTAATAAAACCATGCATTATCGTACTTTTTAAAACTCCAGGGACCAGTGAGATGGTTCAGCAGGTAAAGGTAACTGTGGCACAAGGTTGGTAACTGAATTCAATCCCTGGAGCCCATGTAAGGTGGAAGGAGAGAACCAATTCCACATGGGCACCATGCCACCCACCCACCCACACTGTTTGTTTTTTATTTTTTCAGGAATTTTAGTATTTAAAACCTTTCTATCACTTTAGGGATGTAACTCATTTACCATATAATTCACTCTTTTAAAGTGACAACTCAGTAGTTTTCAGCTTGCCTAATTACCACCACTAATTCTGAAATACTTTGATTACTCCCAACACAAACTCCATAACCATTAGCAGCTACTTTCTCTTCCCCTTGGTTCTTACCACTACCAATCTGCCTCCTGCCTGTATGGACTTGCCTGTTCTGGACATTTGATGTAAATGAATACATACAATGTAGAGTTCTTTGTGCCTGACTTACTATTTTCAAGGTTCATTATTGTTGTAGCATGTATCAATACTTCACTCCTCTGTGCATGTGTATGATGTGTGTGTGTGTGTGTGTGCATGTGAAGGTCACAAACTCAGTGTAGGCCCTTGCCTCCCACCTTAAGACAGGGTCTCTTGGGCCAGGCATGGTGTTACATTCCTTTAACTCAGCACTCAGAGGCAGAGGCAGATGGATCTCTGTGAGTTCAAGGTCAGCCTGATCTACATAGCAAGTTCTAGACCCTGGACCCCCCAAAATAATAAGAAAATTAATTAACAGTTAATTTCTACAGCAGAAGAGGGGGTGTGGTGGAAACTATGTAAGAACCAGAAGATTGGGACGACTGCTGTGAAATACTGTCTTCAGGACATAACAGGACCCTTGCTTGCACTGAACAGCACCCGTGGTTACCTGAACAAGATGGGGTCCTCAACCGGACAGGGAAGGGGGAGGGGCTCATGAAGCCCCACCTCTCCAGGAGGAGCTATCTTTAGTTAATGGTTGCTGTGAGAGGAGTCATTTTCTTCAGTATGTGAAACCCAAACTCAAGTAAATGACTACTCAACCATGCTCACACAACCTTAATTAAACGCAGGGAGTGACAACAAAGCAGAGGAAGGGGACTTGTTTGGAGCTGTAGTGGGAAGGGGATAGAGAGGGCAATGAGGGTGAAAAGGACCAATACATTAAACACATATATGATACAGTTAAAAAAAAAAAAACGGGGCTGGAGAGATGACTCAGCAGATAAGAGCACTGGCTGCTCTTGCAGAGGACCTGGGTTCCTAACACCCACATGCAACCACTCAAACATGTCCTGGAACTATGTAGACCAGGCTGGCCTTGAACACACAGCGATCCGCCTGCCTCTGCCTCCTGATTAAAGGCGTGAGCCACCACGCCTGGCATGTTTACATTTTTAAAACAGCACCTACAAGGGCTGAGAGATGGAGCACTTGATCAAGTTTTTGGAAAGGACCTGAGTTTAGTTCCCAGCAACCACCTGGTGGCTCACAACCGCCTGTAACTTCATTTCCAGGAGCTCCAAGGCCCTCTCTGGTCTTCGTGGGCACCAGGCACGCCAAGAGGCACACATACAATACATGCAAGCCCTCACACATACACACAAGTCTTCAAAAACAAAACAAACCCGCAAATAAGTAAAAAAATAAAACAGCACCTACAAAATTGAGACATCCAAAGCTGTCCCCACTAGGACTCTGTGGTACAGCTCACTCTTGCATACTTGTCAGTTATTTCACACCTGGTAAAGGTCCTTTACCTCTTTCAACACAGCCAGCTCAAAAGTCACTCTGGGATAGAGAGAAAACTCAGCCTTTAAGAGCACTGGCTGTTCTAGCAGAAGATCCAGGTTCGAATCCCAGCACCCATAGGGCGGCTAACAACCGACCGTAGCTCTAGTTCCAGGGGATCCGACGCCCTCTTCTGACCTCCGCGGGCATTGGATGACACGGGTGCACTTGCATACATGTAGGCAATACTTATACACATAAGATACGAATAAGGCAAAACCTGTCTATTTTAACCCCACCCCACCCCCCGCCCAATGCTTGGCACCGAGCAGCAGGCACCTGGCACATAAAGGACAAGTTGTAAAAATGCTGGGCTAGACAGTTCCGATAAACAGGGCAGCGAGAGCCAATAACTCTTAGATGCAAGTCTCCCTCCCCCGAGGCCCACTTTCTCAGCCGCCCCGCACCGGAGTCCCCGCCCCGCGCTCACCATCCATTGCGTTGTCCGGAGCCGCCGCCATCCCGCCCTGCGCGTCCCGCTCCACCAGGGGCCGGAAGAATTCGGCTATCACCTCCTTCATCCGGGCCACGCCCTCCAGCAGGCTCTGCAGTGGGTCCGCGTCACCCGACGCCTCACAAGACACCCGCAGCGGTTGCGGCTCCCCGTCGCGCCCGACATACTCTCCCGAAAGCTCCATAGGGCCCGCTCAGCTTCAACAGCGCGCCACGGAGAAGCGCCACCCGGAAGCGGAAGCCAGCTCACGGCGGGCGCAGGCGGAGAAGAGGGGAAGGAATGACTTCCGGTGTTCGGGAGGCCCCCCTTCCAGTTCCTTCCTTCTTCTTCTTTCGGATTGGCTGGCCGGTGCTCAGGCCCCGCCTTCCCCGGGGCGCCTCTGGCGGCCGCTTTTCCCGCCTCCGACCAGGCTGTGCGGCTGTACGCCGCGAGAGTTGAGCATGGCGGGAGCCGAGAACCCCGCTGGGCGCCAGGCAGAGCTGGAGCCCGTGGTCTCGCTGGTGGACGTGCTCGAGGAGGACGAGGAGCTGGAGAACGAGGCGTGTGCCGTCCTGGGCGGCAGCGACTCGGAGAAGTGCTCCTACTCACAGGTGCGCGCGGCCTCTGATCCTCCCCGCCGGGCTGCCCCGGCTCGCGCCGGCCGCGGCTGGGCCTTGGGGTGCTTTAGGGCCGCCCTTCCGGAGTCCTGGCTCGGCTGCCTTTATAGCCTCAGCTTTTCCCCAGCAGCGGCCCCCCTCCGTCTTGCAGGCAGCATTCTTGGCCCCGAGCAGCTCCTATGTATCTGCTTGTGGGCCTGCACTTTCCGAGATCATCCTCGTGACCTCTCGGAGCCAGCCATCCTCCCATCCTCAAGCATGCTTATTAGGCACCAGATGGGGCAAAGTAGAGTTAAAAGAGCTCTAGCTTCGAAAGCCTTCCCGTAAGGATAGGCTACCGTTTAACTGGCAGCTCATCCTTCTGGTTAAACGAAGCAAGTTCTGCTTCTGTGGGCCGTGTGAAATTGGAACCAGAGCATCAGGTGGCTCTGGAAAGCCAAGAGGAAAGAGAAGGATCTGTTTGGCGTTTGTGAGACCTTATGAACAAGAGTTCCAGAAGGTGTGATGTAGTGATTCAACCCACACGTCTAGGTACAGAAATGAAGACCGGCGGGTAGGAAGAACACAGGTTACCTAGGCCCCTGGGTGGAGTGAGGGAAAGGATTTGGAGTCATTGTGTGGTGTGGACTGAAGTCATAATACTCTTGGTCTTCGTTGGCCAGATTGGGTTTACACTGCAAAGCTGTTAGATTGTTGAATAAATCTGGTATCCAAAGATAGTCCCAAATATTTCCTGAATTTAAAACCTTTGGCTACAACTGAAACAACGTTTTGTCCTGACTTCCTTGGGCGGGGGGGAGGTCCTAAGTCCATATACAAACTATTTTACGAAATATAGTTAGCTTTATAAAATGGATTAACTAAGAAATTGTTTTTTGGAGATAGTCTCATGTATCCTAGGCTAGACGGCCTGGAATTCCTGATCCTACCTTCACCTCCCAGGTTGTGGGACTACAAGTGTGCATCAGCATGGGTTAAAAGTCTTCTCTCTGGAAATAAAGATACTCAGTACTAAAGTTTTTATTTCTTATTGGGCGGGGGCATGTGCATGGCACATGTGAGATGTCAGACCAACATTGTGGAGTTGGTTCTCTCCTTCCACCTTTATGTGGATTCCAGGTATCCAACTCATGTCACCTGCGCTTACCAAGCACCTTTACCCACTGAGCCATCTTGATGGCATTAAAATTTTTGTATTGAGGTAAAATATATAGACATTTGTATAGTTGGGGAGATGATATCACTTAGTCCGTAAAATGCTTGTTTCACAAATGTGAGAAACCCGTATTCCATCCCTAGAGCCCACATAAAAAAGCCAGGCATGTTAGTGTGCATTTGTAATCCCTGCTCTAAAGAGGCAGACATAAGCTGATCCCTGGGCAGGCTCCTCAACTAGCCTAGCCTCAGCTCCAGGCCGAAAAAAAAGGGGGTGGGGGGCACTTGCTCCTGAGGAATGACACCCAGTCTCTAGCCTCCAGGTGTACCTGCACACGTACAAGAAATTTGTGTAAGTTCTGTGTATTGTTTGATTGAAAACAACGAACACTGACAAGGCAAGTACAACCCTAGTCAAGAAACAGAGTATTAGTTGGCATGGTGGCACTCACCTTTAATCCCAGCACTCGGGAGGCAGAGGCAGGTGAATCTCCGTGAGTTCAAGTCCAGCTGGGGCTACAGGGAGACTATCTCAAAAAAACCAAAGGGAAAGAAAAAGAACAGTACTACTGGCATCCCAGAAACCTGCTTGTATAGTTCCCTCTTTTTTTTTTTTATTACTTTATTATTTTTTATGTGTATGAATGTATTGCCTACATGTATGTGAGTGCACCCGTGTCATGCAGTGCCGTGGAGGTCAGAAAAGGTCTCCAGATTCTCCTGGAACTGGAATTAAGGACGCTTCATAGCTGCCATGTGGGTGCTGGGAATTGAACTGTGGTCCTCTGCAAGAGAGTCAGTGCTCTTAACCACTGAGCCATCTCTCCAGCCTATAGTTCCCTCTTAGGGGAAGGTAGTTTGGTCTGTTTCTCCTTCACCTTTCAATTTTGAAATATTTGAAGTCTACAGATGAATTGAAAGAATAATAGATTATACCTCTTACACGTATTTACTGTAAACATTTGTCTCCTTTATGTGATACACTTTTAATATATTAAAACCATTAAACAGATCAACTTACTTGATTCACAGATTTAACCTTCCTATCACTTTAAGAAAAAATTGTGGGGCTGGAGAGATGGCTCAGTGGTGACTGCTCTTGCAGAGGACCCGGGTTCGAGTCCCAGCACCCACATGGCTGCCACAAACCGTCCTTAACTCCAGTTCCAGGGGAATCTGAAGCCCTCTTCTGACCTCCAAGGCATTGCACGACACGGGTGCACTGACATACATGCAGGCAATATACTCATACACATAAAAATAAATATATTTTTTTAAAAAGAAAAAAATTGTGTAAAAACAAGCCTTAGTGTAGTTATGGAATGTGTAAGTGTTTTGGTACTCTGCTGCGTAATTGTACATTGTCATTTTTCCTCCTGTTCTGGATGGTCTTTCAGGGCTCAGTAAAGAGACAAGCACTATATGCCTGTAGTACCTGCACCCCAGCGGGAGAGGAAGCGGCAGGAATTTGTCTAGCATGCAGTTACGAGTGCCATGGAAGTCATAAACTATTTGAACTGTACACAAAAAGGTACACAGATTTTTTTTCAGAGTGCTTTCTAAATGTTTATAGATTCTTATCCAACCACACTGCCTGACTAATCTTGCTTTTCATTCAAAGTAATTATGGACTGGTATAATTCAATGTGATTGGAGGGAATGGTTTTTCCACAGCTGTGGTGAAGACTCAGACTAGTCATCCTTTTCTTCCATTATTCCATTTGACTGAGAGTGGTGCAGATAGTGGCCTTTTGTGTGTAGGAAGTTCCGGAATTGTCCTTTTTGTTGGAAAAATTCCAAATAAGATACATGAACAGCAAAAAGGCTATGTCTTATATTATAGAAATGAGTCAAAAAGATAAGCTAGGATTTGAACTTGAAGAATAATTAGCTTTAAAAGAAAATTTAAATGGATTCTTCCTTTTTTTCAGAAATTTTCGTTGTGATTGTGGAAACAGCAAGTTTAAAAATTTGGAATGCAAATTATTTCCTGTAAGTAAGCACTGTGATTACAAATGCACTTAAGGACCTGAGGTTGGTATTTACCAAAGTGGGTAAAACCAAAGTATTTTCCACAAAGGAGCCTTTTCTTATTCTTGAGTATTATTTTTTATTTGGTTGGAATAACATGTTCAGATTCTACAGTATACATTATAATTAAGGTTTGGAGGAAATGTTCTTTAAACTGGTTTTTATTTGTGTTATGCTCATATGCTGAGCTTGTGCACTTTTAGAGCAAAGGATATGACTTAAAACCTAATAAAGAGCCAGGCATAGTGGCTCGCTCCTGTAATACCAGCACTTGGGAGCTGAGGCAGGAGGATTACTGTGAGTTCAAGGCCAGCCTGGGTGTGCCATATGAGTTTTGACCTGTCTGAACTATATAATGGAGACTGTTTAAAAAAAAAAACGGGGGCTGGTGAGATGGCTCAGCGGTTAAGAACGCTGGTTGTTCTTGCAGAAGACCTGGGTTTGAATCCCAGCACTCACATGGCAGCTAACTGTCCGGAACTCCAGTTCCAGGGGATTTGACAGCCTCTTCTGTCCTCCACAGGCATTGCATGGCACAAGTGCACTTACCTACATGCAGGCAATACATTCATACACATAAAATAAAAATAATGAAATTATAAAACCAGAAAAGCTCTTTCCTTTTGGCCACCACCATGCCATCCAGACTGAGGGAGTCCCAGAAACTCCGGGGCCGCGTGAGCCACAGCCACGGCTGCATCAGGAAACACTGGAAGCACTCAGGAGGCCAAGTTAATGCTGGTGGCATGCATCACCACGGGATCAACTTCGACAGATATCATCCAGGTTACTTTGGGAAAGCTGGTATGAGGCATTACCACTTAAAGAGGAACCAGAGCTTTGGCCCAACTGTCAACCCTGATAAATTGTGGACATTGGTCAGTTAACAGACACCAGTAAATGCTGTCAAAAATAAGGCTAGTGTTGCCTCCATCATTGATATGATGCAATCAGGCTACTACAAAGTTCTGGGGAAGGGAAAGCTCCCTAAGCAGCCGTGATCGTGAAGGCCAAATTCTTCAGCAGAAGAGCTGAGGAGAAGATTAAGAGTGTTGGGGGTGCCTGTGTCCTGGTGGCTTGAAGCCACACAGGGAGGTTCATTAAATGTTAACATTGTTTTCATGTGAAAAAAAACAAACCAGAAAACAACAAACAAAAGGGGCCACTGAGATGGATCAGCAGGTAAAGGTGCTTACAGCCAAGCCTGAGTTTGATCCCTAGGACCCACATGATGGAAGGAGAGATTGACTCCTGCAAGTTGTCTTGATCACACACCCATCATGGCATGGGTGTGCACACAAAAATAATTTAAAAAAAAAAATTTTTTTTTTTTTTGGTCTTTTTGAGACAGGGTCACCCTGTAACCTCACCTGACCTAGAACTTGCTATATAGGCCAGGTTGGCCTGAATCTCACAGAGATCTGCCTGTCTCCTGAATGTTGGGAGTAATGGCATGCACCACCATGCCCAGCTAAATTTAAAGTTTTAAAGACAAACTGAATGATTAAAACTTTGTAGGGGCTGGAGACTTAGCTCAGTGGTTAAGGACACTGGTTGTTCTTGCAGAAGACCCAGGTTCAAATCCCAGCACTCACATGGCAGCTAACAACTGGTAACAACCCGTAACTCCAGTCCCAGGGCATCTGACTGCCTCTTCTGTCCTCTGAGGGCATTGCACTACACAGGTGCACTTACCTTCATGAAGGCAATACACGCATACACATAAATTTTTTTTAAAAAATAAAATAGGGCTGGAGAGATGGCTCAGCAGTTAAGAACACTGGTTGTTCTTGCAGAAGACCTGGGTTCGAATCCTAGCACCCACATGGCAGCTAACAGCTGTCCCTAACTCCAGTTCTAGGGGATCTGATGGCCTTATCTGTCTTCCAAGGGCATTACACAACACGTGGGTGCACTTACCTACATGCAGGCAATACACTCATACACATAAAAATAATAAAAGATTAAAAAAAATAAAACTTTGTAATAATGTGACTAGATGTACATGGGACATTTTTGCTGGTAGAAACTGCTTTCACAAGAACTTGTGAAATACAGCTAAAAGAGAGTAAGGAATGTCACATTGTTCAGTAATAATTAAAATCTTCATGTTTCCTCCTTTAATAAAGATTGATTCTGGGGCTGGAGAAATGGCTCAGTGGTTAAGAACACTGCTCGCAGAGGACCCAGGTTTGAGTCCCAACACCCAAATGGCAGCTGATAACTGTCCTTAACTCCAGTTCCAGGGGATCGCACGCCGTCTTCTGACCTCCTCGGGCATTGCACAACACTGGTGCACTTACACACATGCAGGCAATATACTCATACACAAAAATGAAAATAATAAAAATATTTTAAAAACTAAAGATTAATTCTAGATAATCATGTTCTTTCAATAGCCCAAAGGTCTTGGCTGTCACAGCTTCATTTAAAGAAATGCCTTGAAATTCTGGGCCATGGTCAGTTCACATAAGCTGATTTCCATTTTATTGAATGAGTAAATTTCCCCCTATTGCTATAAAGAAAATACACTGTTGGGTCGTCCCCCTCCCATCTTGGAAAAAGTATTTCCCCCTTCAGACTTGAAAGTTAATGGCTAGTTTGATAGTTAATGCAGAGATTTCATGAATGTATACATTTTATGGTGCATGAGATTATACCTAATATTAGACCATAATATATGTCAAAATTCTCTTTCAGGACAAATCAAAGGTAAATTCTTGTAATAAGTACAATGACAACTTTTTTGGGCTGTACTGCGTTTGTAAGAGACCCTATCCTGATCCTGAAGATGAGGTAAGAAATCACAACCTAAAACCTGTCTCATTTCTAGCCTTGATTCCTCAGTCTCTTGCTGTTGTCTGGGCATCTAGAACTCTATAGAAGTTTTTAAGGATACTCAAGGATTCACGATGTACTGTCTTCTTAGGAATCTGGCTTCAATCTGTAACTGTACAGAGCTGTTTTGTTTTCATTTGTATATCATAGGAATGAAATATTGGAGAGGACTTTCCCAAGGCCAGAGCCCTTTCCTTCTTCTCTTTCTTGCCTGTCTCACCCCTAGACACTTTCTAAGAATATCCTTCAATTTTTTGCTTTCTTGGAAAAAAAAGAAATGTACAAACTGAATTCTTTTACAGTTTCAGTTACAAGTATAAGTGAAATTCAGAGTTATTCTGTGCATTCTCTTCTGCAATTGGCTTTTCTCATAGATCACCTTCCATAGTAAACAGTCTAACTGGGGTGACAGCTTATGCCCATAATCTCAGCAGGCACACTGCCACAAGTTCAAGGCTACCCTGACCAACATAATGAGTTTCAGACCATTATAAGAGATCCTGCCTCAAAAAGTGAAAAGGAGGTGGGAGGTCTAGAGAGATAGCTCAGTGGTTTAGAGCACTTGCTGTTCTTGCAAAGGACCTGGATTCAGTTCCCAGCACTCACACGGAGACTCAAAACCATCTGGAAGTTGAGTTTCAAGGGATCCATGACCTTTTCAGGCATGAGGCATGCAAGCACGTGGTGCACATGTATACATGCAGGCAAAACACTTAAAAAAAATTTTATTTTTTAAGTAAAAGGGGAGGGGCTGGAGAGAGAACACAACTCTTAAGAGTCTCTTGCAGAGGATTTGGTTCAGTTCCCAGCACCCATATGGTGGCTAACATCCATACAAATGAAAAAAATAAATTATTTTTTAATTGAAAGGGGAAAGGGGACTTGAAAAACACAGTCTGCCTTGTTTTAATTGCTGTAGTATATCGCAAATTTAACATGCATGAATTAGTTCCCTTGTTCTGTAGCAGATGACATTTGTCTAACGTTCACCATAAAGAAGGCTTTAGTAGGCATCCTTACACAAGTGTACAACTGAGAGTACTACTGTAGGTATAGATAAAAAGGATATCTACTGATTTACAATTGTGATCATGTCTGGTAAAAGGATTGGACCACCAATGATAGATGATAGTAGTTGTTTTTCTCAACATTCTTACTAACCCTATGTACTGCCAATCCTTTGAAGTCTTACCAGGCTAATAAATGAAGAATAAGATCTTTGAAGTGTTTTCTTTTTCCCAATCATGAATGAGATTACACAGCTTTCTGTTTGTAAAGTTGTCTGTATGACTGCTGAGTTGTCCTTTCATATCCTCAGTTGATGTTTTGTCTGTGTACTAACCAATCTGAAAGGAATTGTTTGTATGGAAAGGAGTTAATTTTCTGGTGTTTTAATCATTATGGGACTATAATTATTGAACCAAATTATGTAGAGGAAGAAATTGAAAGTATCTTTGAGTTATCAGAAATATGATCTTAAGCCAGGCATGGTGGCGCACGCCTTTAATCCCAGCACTTGGGAGGCAGAGGCAGGCGGATCTCTTGTGAGTTCAAGGCCAGCCTGGTCTACATATTGAGTTCCAGAACAGCTGGGGCTACAGGGAGACCCTGTCTCAAAAAGACCCCCTCCCCAAAAGAAAAGATCTAAAAACTAGATATTTCAGTCACCGTGGTGGTGCACACCTTTAATCATGGCACTCAGGAGGCAGAGGCAGTTGGATCAAGGCCAGCCTGGTCTACAAAACCAGTTCCAGGCCAGCTGGGGTTCTAGGGAGACCCTGTATCAAAACAAACAAAAACCTGGTTATGTTAACGAATTAAGTAAAATGTTTCTTAGAGCACTTTTAAATAAAAAGACAAAACAAAAATAGATGATGAATAAATTGACAGGGAGAAAAAAATATAAAACTGCTGAGTACTGTGGGTTATTTATTTTTGTCTCTTCAGAAACCACCCCAATGAAGAGACAGAAAAACATTAAGATGTTAATTGGTAGCTATGAAAGCCTAGGATAAAGAGAAAATAATCCCCCAAATAGTCTCTGTCTTTTGTTACATCAGTTTCTAGTGTAGGGCATTAACTTACTAAAATTGAAAAGCTGAGGCTGGGCATGATGGCGCATGCCTTTAATCCCAGCACTCAGGAGGTAGAGGCAGGTGGATCTCTGAGTTTGAGGTTAGCCTGGTCTACATAGAGAGTTCCAGGCAAGCTAGGGCTACAGGGAGACCCTGTCTCAAAAAATACCAAAAATGAATAAATAAAATGGAAAAGTTGTCTGTATCAGAAATCGCAATGTTTCCTTTTCAGCTCACCTGGCAGTGTGTTATAGTAAAAAGTCTCAGGAGTCACATTCTACATTGGTCAGGTCACCTTCTGTGTATGTAATTTGGGAATGCCCTAATCCATAAGCTTTGTAGGAATCCTATATTAATGGACATGAAAGAGCTTTGATAACTGCTTGCAAACCAATTCATGCAGAATGGCCTTCTCTTTCCTTTTAACTACTATTACAAGGATTAGATACATTACAAAGTTGGCAGAGAATTATTTAATATCTAATTCTCTTGTGGGTCAGGTTGTTTTTCTTGTTCTAGAATACAAAGCAAACAGTAACAAAATATTTTTTGTTAGGTTCCAGATGAGATGATTCAGTGTGTAGTCTGTGAAGACTGGTTCCATGGCAGGGTAAGAAAAACATTTACCCTTTAAAGATGTGTCTAATGGAGCATGATGGTGCATACCTGTAAATCCACCACTTGGGAAGTAGTAGAGTGAAGATCAGGAGTTCAAGGCCATCCTCAGCTACTTGAAATCCTGTCTCAAAAATAAATAATCAGGTGTGGTGGGGCACACTTTTAATCCCAGCACACAGGAGGCAGAGGCAGTTGGGTCTCTGTGAGTTCAAGTCCATCCTGGTCTCCATAGTGAGTTCTGGGCTAACCAAAGATAGATAGATGATTGATAGATAGATAGATGGATGGATGGATGGATGGATGGATGGATGGATGGATGGATGGAAATAGAGCTATATATACTCAAAAAAGTTTTCTTTTTGTTTTATTTTACAGTATAATTACCTTTTTAAAGCTATAAAGACATGATCTGTGTACTTTTGTGATATTTGTTTATAAAGAGAACTTGGAGATGACAGGGAAATACCTGTTTGTTTGTTTTTTTTCTGTATTCACAGCATCTTGGTGCCATTCCACCTGAGAGTGGGGATTTCCAAGAGATGGTGTGCCAGGCTTGTATGAAACGTTGTTCTTTCTTGTGGGCTTACGCTACTCAGTTGGCAGGTAGGTGTTTCTGTGAAACTGTGACACAAACCATGTTTGCTTATGAAATTTATATGTTCAAACCAGAAATTTTTTTAATATTGTATTATTTTTTTTTTATGTGTATGTGTGTATTACCTGCATGTATGCAAGTGCACCATGTTGTGCAATGCCTGCAGAGATCAGAAGAGGGCGTCAGATCCTCTAGAACTGGAGTTACAGACAGTTGTTAGCTGCCATGTTCCGTGTTGAGATTCAAACTTTGGTCTTCTGCAAGAACATTCAGTGTTCTTAACTGCTGAGCCATCTTTCCAGCCCTCAATCCAGAATTTTTAGCATCTATTTTTTACTTGACTTTGAGCTATAGAAAACATTGATATGTTCCTTCTCCACACAGTGCTTATAGACTGGTTGAGAGCCTACCAAGAACAAATGGGAACTTGAATGGTATGATGCAGAGTATTGATGAGACCAGAATTAGAGAAAATGCAGGAAGTAGTTTTTGGATAGGATTTTGAAAGAGAAATAGAATTAAAGTAAGTTGTTATTAAATGTAAGACATGCTTTTGAGGGGTTGGCATCTTAGTCATTTGGGATGATATAACAAAATGCCTTACCAGTAATAGAAATGCATTATTCACTCTTCTAGAGACTGACAAGTAAAGATCAAGGTGCCAGATGGGGAAGGCTATTCTTTATACATGGAGCTTTCTGTGTGTCCGCACATGATGGAAAGAACACACAGGCTCCTTTAGGCCTCTTCTGTAGGGACACTTAATTGCGGTCATGAGGGAAGCCCCTATGACTTTTTAATATTATTACATTGGAGGTTAACTTTTACCATAAATTTTAGAAGGAAATAAATATTCTGACTATAGCAGATAGGGATACAGTTTGTTATCTGGGTTATCTAGTGCTTTTCTTATACACTAAGAAAAAGAACCAATCATACTGGATGGTCTTAAAGTATCTTGATAACGCTATATTTATTAACTGAGGTTTACAGTGGCGGTATTTGCTGCCATGGAGTTTTTATTTTATTTATTATTTTTATTTTATGTGTATGAGTGTTATGCCTATGTGTCAGTAAGTGCACCCGTGTTGTGCAATGCCCTCAGAGGACAGATGAGGCTGTTGGATCCCCTGGAGCTGAAGTTACAGACACTTGTTAGCTGCCATATGGGTACTGGAATTCCAACCCAGGTCTTCTGTAAGAACAGTCAGTGTTCTTTAACCACTGAGCCATCTCCCCAGCCCCAACTGCTATGGAGTCTTAATCTCTGGTCCTCACTTTTAGGGAGTATTTCACCATGGAAAGCGCAAGCAGCTTTCTAAGATCTTGTCCTACACTTTGAATTTGCTTCAAGGCTCTTAAAATAAGTGCTCTCTCAGGTCATAATTCTTTCCAGTTACATTCCTCACTTTTCTGTAGACACTTGACCTATATGTAGTTCTCACTGGGTTTTCTTTTGTGTTTTGCTTTTTATTTTGTTTTTTTGAGACAGAGCCCTGGCTGGCCTGGAACTTGCTACTTAGACCATGTTGGCTGAAAACTCACAGAGATATGCCTGCTTTTGTCTCCTGAGGACTGGGATTAAAGGCATGCACAACCACACCTGGCGGAGTTTCTTTTTTTTTTTCTTTTAGTTTGTTGGTTTAGTTTGCTTTGTTTTTTGTTTTATTTTGTTTGTGATCCTAAGGATCGTGCCCTGGCCCTCACGTATGCTGGTTACATCACCATCCCTGATTGGTTGGTTGGTTGGTAGGTTGGTTTGAGGTAGTGTCTCATTGTGCAGCCCAGCTGGCCTCAGGTGCTTCTGGAGCCGCCTGTCTCGGCCCAGGTGTTCTTAATAATCTGCCCTGTGCATTTCCTTCCCTATCAGGTGGCATCATCCTCTATTAAATTGAAACCGTCCTCACCATTTTTCTCTTTCCATAGTTTTTCTGTCTTTTTTTTCCTCCTCCCAACTGAAAGCTGGTGTTTTCCTGAACTATCTTTTTTTTTCCTGTGTTTTTAGTTAGATTTCTTCTTACTGCCTCTTGTTTTGTTGGTTATCTGGTCTGTCTTTTAACAGCTGTAACATATTTTTTCTTCTTTATAAAGTGTGATTAATTTTTTAAAAATATTTTATTATTTTTATTTTGTGTGTATGAGTGTATTGCCTGCATGTAGATATATGTTCACCTGTGTGGCGTAATGCCGGAAGAGGACAGAAGAGGCCGTCGGATCCCCTGGAACTGGAATTACAGACAGTTGTTAGCTGTCATGTGGGTGCTGGGATTTGAATCCAGGTCTTCTGCAAGAACAACCAGTGTTCTTAACCTCTGAGCCACCTTGCCAGCCCCAGTGATTAATATTTTTAATTGAAGCTGGATGTAGTGGCCTGCACCTTTAATCCCAGGACTGACTCTGGAGGCAGAGGCAGGTAGGGCTCTCTGAGATCCAGGCCAGCCTGGTCTACATAGTAAGTTCCAGGCCAGCTGGGCATACAGGGAAATCCTGTCTTTATTTTTTTAAAAAAAAAAAAGAGCCATGTATTTGGATTAGGCAATAGTGATATTCTTGTCTTCTTATTATGGAGATTAAGGTTACCTTTTTTCCTACTTGAGATTCTGAGCTGTTTTCCATAAGAATGTGATTTCTTTGTGTGAGAGGTCTGTGGTATCTGTGTGTTTTTGTTGAACCCACAGTAACCAGAATATCTGCTGATGATGAAGGGCCAGTGCTGAATGTTGATGGGACAGCTGATCAGGAAGTTACCAAGTCTGAAAATGGAGATCATAAAGATAATGCCCTCAAAGAGGATGTTCCAGAATGTGGAAGGGATGCTGTCAAAGAAGTTAAAGCAGAGCAGACTAATGAGCCATGTACCAGCTCTGCTTCTGAAACTGACGTTCAGGTAGTACAAGCACATAAGAAGTGAAACTTGGGGCTGGAGTGATAGCATCAATGGTAAAGTGCTTGGCCCTGAGTTTAATCCTTTGAGCCCAAGTAAAATAGCTGGGTAAGCCAGGCAAAGTGGCACACACCTTTAATCCCAGCATTTGGGGGTAGAGGTGGGTGGATTTCTGAGATCCAGGCCAGCTTGGGCCTACAGGGAGACCCTGTCTCAAAACAACAAACAAAAGACCCCGCACAAAAGAAAACCCCCCGAAAACCAAAAAAGCTGGACATGGCCTAGGGAGGTGATTCAGTTGGTAAAGTGCTTGGCCTACATAGCAAGTTTCAGGCCCACTAGGACTACATAGTGAGACCCTGTCTCAACAATAGGAGAACCAGGTATATTCCCTGTAATCCCAGTGCTGGGGAGTTGGAGATGAGAGGATTCTTGGGGCTTTCCAGCCAACCAGTCTAGCAAATTGGTAAACTCCAGGTGCAGTGAGAGAGCCTATTTTCAAGAAATAAAGAGAAGTGATTGAGGAAGACACTGGACATCAGCGTCTGGCCTCTATACAAAAGCCAGGCATGGTAGCACACGTACTTGTAATCCCAGTGCTGGAGAGGTGAAGACAGGCAGACCCCTGAGCTCACTGGCTGTCCAGCCTAGCCTATTTGGTGAGTTCCCTGTCTCTAATTGGGGGAAGGGGAAGGTTGGCACCTTAGGAACTACACCTAAGGTTGTCCTCTGGCTTCCACATGCACACCCAAAAGAAAAAGTAAATGAAACTTGGGCATTAATTCTACAGTCTCTGTAGCTTTGAACTTTACTTGTAGTCCTTCCCTAAAGAAATCCCTTTACAAAATCCAAACTCTGAAAGCTATAATAGTATAACAAGCAGCATAAGCCAGATTTGGTGGTGCACAGCTGTGATGTGGAAGTTGCGGCATCCTGATTGCCATAGATCTGAGGCCAACCTGGTCTACATGGTGAGTTCTAGGCCAGCCACAGCTACATAAGCAAGACCCTCTCTCAAAAATATTTTTTTATTAAAAAGCCTCACATACATTTCAAAACTTAAATTTTATTTCAGACAGTGTTTAAGAATGAAAGCCCCAAAACTGAATCACAGTTTGGCTGCCGACTTCAAGAGCTCAAAGCCAAGCAGTTTGTAAAGAAAGATACTGCCACCTATTGGCCTGTGAACTGGCGTAGCAAGCTGTGCACCTGCCAGGACTGTGTGGTGAGTATCTGATAACGTTGGGTCTTCATATACTTTATGCAATAGAAATGTTTATGGAATTGATAATAGGAGTTTTGGGACTTTTTAAAAAAATACTTTATTATTTTTATGTGTATACGTGTATTGCCTGCATGTAGGTAAGCGCACCCGTGTCGTGCAATGCCCAAGGAGGACAGAAGAGGCTGTCAGATCCCCTGGGACTGGAGTTACGGACAGTTGCTAGCTGCTGTGTGGGTGCTGGGATTCGAACCCGGGTCTTCTGCAAGAACAGCCAGTGTTCTTAACCGCTGAGCCATCTCTCCAGCCCCCATTTTAACTTTTCTATTAAGCAAAGTTTTGAAATCTAGTCTGAATTTTTATAGAAGAAAATAAGAATTGTGCAATACTGGGGCTGGAGAGATAGCTCAGTGGTTAAGAGCACTGACTGCTCTTGCAGAGGACCCAGGTTCGATTCCCAGCACCCACATGGCGGCTACAAGCCATCCTTAATTCCAGTTCCAGGGGAATCTGAAGCCCTCTCCTGACCTCCATGGCATTGCACAACACAGGCGCACTCACATATATGCAGGCAATATACTCAATACACATAAAATAATAATAATAGAATTTTTTTTAATTGTGCAATACCAAATTTTAGTAGAAAACAGCAATTCTTGTTTTCTTTGTATCATAGAATTGCTTCAAAACCTAATAGATTTTGAGTTATAGGAAATATTTAAAATATTTTACTGACAATGAGGTAGATGAAGAAGAGGAAGAAGGTGGGGAGGAAGAGGAGGAGGAGGAAGAAGGTGATGGTGAGGAAGAGGACGGAGATGAAGATGAGGAGACTGAGGCAGTGCCGTGCAAGCGGGCAGCTGAAGATGATGAGGATGATGATGCTGATACCAAGAAGCAGAAGACCGATGAGGATGACTAGACAGCAAAAAGGAAAAGTTAAACCTAAAAGGCCACCGTGACCTATTCACCCTCCACTTCCCGTCTCAGAATCTAAACGTGGTCACCTTCGAGTAGAGAGGCAGGCCCGCCCGCCCATAGCGGGCAGTGCCACTGCAGATGACATGCGCTCTCCACCACCCCACCAAAACCACAACACGAATTTGCCACAGGGGAGGAAAAAAACAAAACTTCCGAGGCCCTGCTTTTTTTCTTAAAAGTACTTTGAAAAGGAGAATTTGTTTGCATTTTTTATTTACATTTTATATTTTTGTACATATTGTTAGGGGTCAGCCTTTTTAAAAATTTTTATTTATTATTTTTATTTTATGTGTATGCATGTATTGCCTGCATGTAG